ATAAAAGCCATGACAATTGTTTTTATTAACCACAGCAGTCAGAAAACGTTTAAAATAGTTTTGGGTAGTTAAGGTTTTCAAAATGGGTAGAAGAAAGGTTATTAGTGAGAAAATTCTGTTACTGATAATTAAATTTTTAATTCTGGGAAATCAAAATCAGAAATTGCAACTTTGTTAGACTTATCGTGGTACAGTGTGAGAAATATTGTTAGAATATATAACGTAACTGGTTCTGTTAATATTAAGCCACGATATGTTAAAAAAAGTAATATCAAAAATGGCGACCGAAGAGCATTAAGAAGAATAATCATGAAAAACAGGGGTGCCAATTATTTACAATTAAGTGCTCTGTGGAGTGACGCTGGTGGAAGGAGAATTTTGAGATCCACAACTCATAGAGAGGCCCACAAACTGGGATTTAGCACTTGCAAGGTAAGTTCTCTTATAAAAAAAAGTGAAGTAAAAACCCTAAAGTTGTACAACTTGTTTATAGGCCAAAGAAAAGCCACTATTAACTCCACTGCAAAAGAAAAATCGGCTAAAGAGCATAGACAATGGACACCTCAACAATGGTGTGCAATACAATGGAGTGATGAGGCCCGATTCGAAGTTTGTGTTGGTGACAGTCGCAGTAGAGTTATTTGCAAAAAAAAATGAAGCATTCCATGTTGACTGTCTGAAGAGAAAAGTGAAATTTCCAGCATCCATTATGGTCTGGGGCAGTATGTCATCAAAAGGAGTAGGAAAACTTCATTTTATTGATTGAAATGTGGATACAAACAAATATTTGGCAATTTTATAAGAATCGCTTTTACCAGTGATGGAAGAATGTTTGACATCCGGCCAAGATTTTGTGTTTCAGCAAAATGGTGCAGCGTGCCATACCTCAAGAAAGGCAAAATGGATGGAAGAAAAGAAACGTTCTACGACAACATCCTGCTCGTACAATCACCGAACTGAGACAAAAGCTTCAAGAAATATGGGATTGTTTTACACCAAATTTTTGCCAAAACTTGGTTAACACTATGCCAGAAAAAAATTTCAGCCGTAATAAAAAATAAAGGTGACCCAATGGTAATCTTTCAATTGTTGCTTTGTTAACTTCGCACATTGTTTATTTGTTCAGATGTTCTATTAATTATAGGTCTAAGTGATTTGAAATATGTATTTTTTACGACTAGAGTGTATCTAAAATGTTTTTGAGAAAATAAATTGTTTTAAAAGTAAATAGTTTCGTCATGTTTAGTTTATAAAGGCATATTTTGGTACAAATCTTGAAGTGGGCCAACTGATGTGGGAAGGGACTCGTATATTAAACTATTACTTTAAAACTCATTTTCTCTTTCATTACTTCTCAAAACCTTTCATTAGCCTTAGGAATATCGTATGTCCCATAATTGAAGTTGAATGGATTTTATAGCCCATGGTTGCAAATTCAATTGGCTTTTTCCAAAAAAATAAATTATAAAGAGCTCTCAGGATTTCCTATAAAGCAAATTCACGGAATTCCATGGAAATGCAAGGGTCTCCAAGGTCCAAAGATATCTGTGCCGAAGATTTCTTTGTTCTAATGAAGTGTTAGTAGTTAGCCCTTGGCGAAAACTGTGAGCCTCAACATTTTTTTGTGGAAAGCCAATCCTCCTCACAGTAATGCAAAACGAATAACCTATACTTCTGAGTAACTCTCGTGAGCGGAACTACGAGTTTATGCTACTAAATAATAAAACAGGCCTATTAACTGGTTTAAGAACGTTTCATTAGAGTTTGCTAAAACGACGAGGATGTAAGTCTTCATTTGCAACAAGTGCCCATTTATTGCGTTTCGTCACCCCAAGTTTGGAGTGGAGGGTGGGCTGATAAAGACAATTATTAAAGAGAATCTTATTTGTATACAATGAGACGAATTAAGCCGCGTTATTAATTCAGTAGGAAAGGTAAAGACCAATTTCAACGATCCAATTAGACGTTGCCCCTGGGGAACTTCAGTTTGATATTGATTTTACTTTACTGCGTATTCATTAAAATCTTCTGGATTTGCTGAAGATGTCAGAAATCATGAAACAGCTGTACACGGTTGGACGCCTATTGTCAGACGGATGAGAACAGTATACAGGGTGTAAAGTTAGTTGTGGATCAACGGAAGTCAGGTGATAGATAGCCTCGAAACCTATCGAATGAATCTCTATATGTGTCGTCCGAAATCTTATAGTTCAGGAGATATTCGCAATTTTGTGAATTTTCGAAAAAAAAAACGGGATAATGAACTTTCAATCGCAATTATATCTAAAACATTAAGTTCAGGCCTGAGATTTTTTCTGAGATGAGCTAAAGGTTAGTTTTAGCAATGGTTATGACGCTTGCAGAGCTTATTAGAAATCAACGCAAAAAATATTAAATTCATTTTTTTGTGAAAAATCTCTTCCATCCCTCAACTTTCTAGAGCGGTAAAAAAGATTGAGGTTGTATTTCATTACATGGTACATTATTTGAGTGTTTTTTTTTTGTGGAAAAGGGTAAGTTTTGCGATAGAAAACATTATTGTGCCAGTTGATTATAAAAGGTAAACACCATAAATAACTAGCCTTGAAGTGTGACAGTTACTTGCGATTTAGGATTGGTGGGCTTATTAGAAATGCGTTTTTTTAAATATGTCGATTATCATTCAATAATCGATTTTAGTGAAAGTTGTAAGTTAGGTATGTTTGTCCTAGTATGGCGCAAATCAGCTATAAATATTTAAAAATTTTCAGCGGCGTTTCAAAAATTTTAACAGTCGAAAATACTTTCTGTCCCTTGCATTATAATATAAAATTACAAAATAGTTATGGCCAAGTCACATTTCAACAAATTCATTAAGTGGTCTATTTTTAAAAACCCTTTTTTTAGTTAGTGAAAGGATCAAGTTGTGCCTATAGACATTTTTCATCAAGGTATCTAAAGTAACATACTAAGTTTTCTTAAAAATTAACAAAATCTCGAACTGTCATAGGAGGTAAATGTGGAGTCCTTTCAGGTGCACCAAGGAGCTGCTTTCCAGTAACCCAGTTGAGCTACACGGAGTAACTCAGCACCAACATTGTGCCATTGCATTTTATATTTCCATATAGGGAGCAGTAAGGGAGATTATCTCTCAAACAAAATACCACTGGAAAGCAGCTTATGTATACAATAAAACTTCATCATTAGCAAGATTTTGTCAGATGAGTGAATTTGCAAGATGCTGAAGAGGCTTAGAATGTTTTTTAATGATATTTTTCTAGCAAAGGAGATCATTATATTCGGAATGAATTTTCATTATAAACCCAATTTAGAAAAGCACTCCTCAGATTTTTCTAAAATAACCAATGAATAATTTCCTATATACACTGAAAGTATGTATCATTCAAATAGCAATGTGTGGTAGGTATTTCCAGGCGGTCCTGGGCTTTGCTGGTTTTGCGCGGTGCCATCTTAAAATTACAATAATGTAGTAAAACAATATGTATAGGAACGTGAAGCGGAAGAAAAAAAGAAGTGTCCCCTGAAAGATAGATAAAGTAATTGTCAACTGTCAAGTGTACTCGAAAAGGGCCATCGTTGTGGCCGAAATGTCGTCATCACTAGAATATTTAAAGCATATTTATGTGATTTTATGAGGCGGTCACACAAACATGGAAAGTTTGAGCATGAGAACCATATAAGTTTCAGGTGTTACAGTAGTCCCGAACTACTCTGTTAGAACATTGCTGGTAATAGTAAACATAACACTAATTGCAGTAAAATTTAAAATTGTCAAGTTTCCGTACGCGAGGCGTAGAGTTTGATATAGTTTATTCTTTTGACGTAATGTAAGAAAATTGCGGAGACGAGTTGGCAGATTTCACGAGAAATTATTAGCTTGGTAAAATATTTCAGACAAATAGTAGTTTTGTCTTTTTTGTACAGCTGGAATAAATCCATCGTTTCGCGTTTAGAGGAAGCATGCTCTGCTACAGTTGCGTAGGATAAAATTAAGTCAGCTATCAACTGACATGAAATGAAAGAAATATATAGGATTACTATTTCTACTAACACAATTGAAAAAATCATTAAAATTATCAACGTTCAACTATGTAGTTTTCATTTTGGAGCACCAATACTCAGCTTAAGATCATGCCTACTTGAATCTGTTCCAAACCAATTTTCATTGTCACTCATTATTTGAACGTGTGTAATAAACGAAACAATAAACTGTTGAGATTCAGGTTTGATATATGAGAAGAATGAGAAGCTAGAAAAGGCACAAAATGTCAGTCACAAAATCTAGCTTCCCAGATGTGAACAGATCGAACTTTTGTTTTTCTCTCAGAATCAAAGCTGTTAGAACCAGTTCAGAAGCGTTCGGAAACAGCCCGGAATCTGTTAGTACAGAAGACTTCCCGATACGGAACCAGTTCAAGATCCTGTTGGTACGGTAATTTCGATCTGCTCATGCTCAGAATTAGTGCAGTGGTTTCTTGGAACAAAACTCATGCATGTTATTGAACTACTCATGACGCTATCGCCGAGAATTCTAGGTCCATCTGGAGACACCTGTTGCCATTTAGACTACTTCCGTTGAAGTTTATGCCTGGAAAACGCTAGAACATTTCTCGATGCATAAAAAGCGGATAAACACCCGACTAGGTGGCGGAAGCAGTTAGTAAACAGTTACAGTTGAGTTTACAAACAAATTCGGGACCGTCAACGGCGCGAAATTAGGAAGGAATGATAGGCCAGGAGAGCAGTAATAAATTAGACTTTGAACAGTAAAACGGTGTTTTCATTACAGTGTTTTGAGTTTATCAAAAGCATACTGAATTGTTTGGTTTCTATTCGTCTGGTTCCACGACTATTCCACCTTTACTGCACTGATGAGTTTTTAATGAGCGCGAAACGGCGCTGTCTCCGGTTAGCCGTGGTTACAGAGACGAAAAGCAAACATCCTTTTCAAGCACGCCAAACTATAACTATAACTATTACATAACAATAAAGATACTCACGGATAAACAATAGCTGCCCCAGCAAGTACCGATATGAACGAGAACGGTATAGAAACGAGATTGTAGGTTAAGAGAAATAAAGTTCCTCCATAGAGTCCCTCCTGGGACTCCTGGTAATATCTGGTGCGGTACGTCGGATCTGAAAATGAGATCTACTTAAAAGCTGCACTCCTGCTTTATTTATTTATTATCCCTGCCTCGAGGGACAAGAGCGCATAAAAGGCTTTTTTATATGGACGAAAATATATGAGCCTTGCATACTACAGGAGAGAAAAGTAATTCTTTTACAGTTTTTTTACAGTGGAGAGCGCGTCACTGATAATGCTTTTTAGTTGTTCCTGGCAGTAGCGGAAAGTATTTTGTAAATTGGTTAAATGGACTGACTCTCCAGCGGGGTCTAGATGCATATTTTTATGTTTCATGTTCCGTATGCAAGACTAAATTCGCTGCACTTGCTGTACAGGGTGCCCAAAAAGTTTCCAGACCCCTTTTTTCTCATAATACACAAATAAAACAAAATAATTGTCAAAATAATGGTTGCAGAGCGCTTAGCGATCAACTTGAAAATTTCAAAGGGACCTGTATCTTTTTGATTCGACTGATGGAAAAGCGAAATACTTTACGTTCAGAAATTGCCCTTACCATGACCTTGGCCATAGCGTTCAAGGTCATTTACAGGTCAAATGAAACATTTATAATAAGGAATAATATGTTGAAAGTTTAATGAAACGTAGTTCGCGAACGACAGCTGGAAAGGACAGAAAAAGATTTGTATGTATGTGACATTGTCGTTGGACTTACTCCGCCTCTGAATCATTTTAAGGTCGTTCCCGAATGTAAAATTTTTCGCTGTTCATGTCGGTGAGGTAAAGCAGACTCGGGTTTATTTGAAATTTTCAAATTGACCTCTTAATAACCTTAAAGATCATTTTCAGGGTCATTTATCTTGACATCTTTTTTTATCAGTATTTTCTTATCACTGTAACACTGTGTATGCAAGCTAAGCACTAAGTCAAATAGCCATGGAACATTTTAAGGATATGGTTAGCCAAAACTAACAACATACTACGGCTGTCGTATTCATCCAAAGCATGTTCATTTTTGTTTCATTTGAAACATGAGTCATGCTTCAGATGTTTATCGTTCTTTTATATATCTGTAACGTGAAATACCCACTGAAAAACTATTTTGCTGAGTGCACTTACACAATAAAATGGCGTTGGTTATGCCTAGGAGATAAACACACATTAGACAATTTAATACTAAGCCACTGCGGGTGATATAGGTACGCTGAAAATTCTGAAACACACAAATATAATGTTTAAAATATCAACCTTGAATCAATATTTTGAATCAAGCGGACGAAAATAGCTAATGTCATTAACGCTCTTAATAAATCGTGAATTCTCTCTAAAATTCCAAGATCTGTGGAAATATCTACAAAACTGACAACGTTGTTCTTTTATCCGCTATTAGCAATGTGGTACAGAACATTAAACTTTATCAAACGTTCAAATTTAGGGTTGAGTAATTCTGTTGAAGCAATACTTTATGTCCAAACGATCTGCTAATGGCTGGCCGTATCCAAATCCAATGCCGTACAAACAACAAGCAATATTTATATCCGTGAAAAGCATGTGACATTTATGGCGTAGTACCCCTCGTTTTTAACCAAATTGATATGGAATGTTTTTTCAGATATGCTGCCGGGCGTAGGCGTGGCCATTAAAATTTTGAATGTTTTCTTGCTTCATTGCTTGTGTGCCATACATATAGACATACATTCAGAAAGCATGCATGACTGTTACTATTATGACACGAGCCTGTCATTGGTCAATAAAAGGGATACATGTATTCGTATCATGAAGCCAATCCTGTCATCAAGGATGGTGTGGCTCTCGGAAATCTAGTGGACGTAGAACATGGCGGGGAGCGTCTGTGCATTTAAAAATGTCAAAAAGCTGTTGTCATATTTATGCGCATTTCACTCACATTTTGCAATTCTTTGCAGGCTTATTACTTCATGATTTATTATTATCCAATATTTCTGCCTGCAACTAGGCCAAACTGTCAAAACTGAAATTGTTTGCAGTCGTGATAGCTACAGAAAGACAGCCACACGCGCAGAACCTGAAATTTAGTTTCTGCGCAGTACACACACACGAGAGGGATGTCCTATGCGCAGCGCCTAGAATTACGTTGCTGCGCAGTGTACCAACACACTTCATCGTCGAATGTTTGGACACAGCTTAAGATAACAATCAGCTATGAAACTCTCCTGTCAGTGTCAAAAACGGTGTCGAGTGTAAATTCCCCCAGTACAACGATGAAAGAGTTTTTAGTACTCATCAGCAGCCGGTACACTATATCATACCGAAATATTATCATTTTAAGATTGCAAAGAATATCTGCGGCTGCTGAGCACTAAAATCCGTTTCATTGTTGCACTGGGGGAATTTACATCCGACCTTCTTCGCTAAATGGTGACCGTTTTTGACACTGACAAGAGAGTTTCATAGTTGATTATTATAAAAGCTGTGGTTTGGATTCGTCCCCACTCCATACTTTTTACCTCCTATCTCCGGTCTGCATGCTTTGACAGCACATGACCAAAACTCAAAAATACCAAAAATGACAGGGTGTTACCACACGGGTGCTTTTCAAATTCACTATATGTAAATATATTCTTTATTTATGTTTTATTGGTAGGTATTGGTAGGATTTGCGTAACAATAACAAATGTATATTACGCAAATTTCTGAGTGTTAGAAAAGTCACTTGAAGACTGCTTGTGAACTTTGGCATGTTAGAGGTTGTCTATGTTTGTCAGAAACGATGAACCAACCATTCTCCAGTTGTTCGATTTTTCAAAATATAAAGCATTGCCTCAGCATTCTAAGATTATTCTAGTTTACTATTATGTTTTGATATCATCAACAGTATTGATTATTCAGTAATGTTTTTAATTTATTTTCAACGTTGAAGAGAGGGAAGCATTGTGATCGCGAAAGTCTCAGAATTTCACCTTCCTCTAGTAGGTTATATCTAAAAATGTATTCGTAACTGATACTTTGATTGTGATAAAATTGGGCGATTTCTTATCCCGTGGGCTGGATGAGGTAACACGATACTTTCCTAAATGCTAGTATCCAATAAATGAACGAGAACAGCTTCAACAATATAATTTGAGAGCCGCTTTCCTCAAATTTCAGATAATATTTTTTCATGAGAGTAACTATAGCAAATGAGAAAGTATCTGCTGTTTGTAACGTACACGCAATGTGCTTAACCTACCTGCATTTCTCTGTAGAATGTCCAGAGTGAGAGGAAGCAAAGAGGAACCAGGAATAACCTCAAGAACGTTTGCTTTATTCCAGCTTTTTTGAAGCTAACTGTGGCAGACAATAATCTCCTAGAAAAATAACGATAGACGATTTTTTTTCTCAAAAAGATGGACCGATTATAATACTGTGATTCTAGATAAAATGTAATCGCGAAAAATTTTTAAATTGATTTATGGATGTTATATGGCAACTACATGTCCATGTTCATTTCCGTCGGACAAAATAAAAATCGTCAAACTTGATGTTTTAATGTTCCAGAGGCTCCTAATCATTTTCAGAAAAAAATGCGTAAGAATTAAAAATTAAAGAGGCCTAACTATTAATATAGTTCCTTCCAGAAAGGACATATTGGACATTTCAGATATAGATTTTCCAGTTTATTTGCCCTTAATACTTGCAAGTATAATAATTGGGAGACCCTCGGCGAGTTCAAGAAAAACACCCATTCACATTTCGGTTTCATAACAACTAATTTCAATACAAAGCCTCATAAATAAATCTCAAAAAAAATCTTATTTCAGCTGGACTGTACTATTCTTAACGAACATTTCGGATATATTCCAATACGCTCTAACTGGGAACATACTTACATATAAATATTCCAACCTGTAGAACATGAACTAGGTTTTCCTATCAACAGAGGTATCTTATTCCCATGACCAAGGGCATGGTTGATGGTAGAGTTTGCTCCTGCGATGTTTGAGCTCTTCCTGAATGCCCCACCCTCAATTTTGAACTTTTCCACCAACTGTGAAATCTGATGATTGCTTTCCATGAAGCGCTCTCTAGATCGTCTGTCCACTGTCGAAAGGCATACTGAAAAAGAGCGTCAAGTAGTTTGGCGCTTCTCACTTCTCATGTCTTTAATCTCTCTTTTCTTGGTTACGAGGTATGCGCCACACTTAGCTTCCTGCGCATCATCATGATCATCTGTTTGAACCTACTCATTCAAGATTTGTATGTATGTATGTAGTACTCACAATAATACATAAGCGGATTCTCCAACTGAGGACAAGGAAATCCAATGGCGTTGAAGTACTCCAGCATTTGTCTGGTACCACCAGTATAAACCACATCTCCTAGGCACAAATACAGAACCCTTTCCAAAAATGGGAAGACGTCCGATCTGGGCTTCTCCATGGTAAGGATCATTGCTGTCCCATACTTTTTTGCAGCGTTAGACAGGATTGAGACAACGAGGTATGTGTTCAAAGGGTCTAGATCCCAGGTTGGCTCGTCGAGTAGAAGGATCACTGAAATTTTCGATGGATCAATCCTTTTAAGCCGCGTACAGACCGAATATCCAACGCTGAGCAACGGAATGCAAGCACATGTGACGTTGGCGTTTGTTGTTGGAAGGTGCTCGTCTACACGTCGCCTACACCTAAATTCAGTTTTGAGTTGGACCGCGTAGGGTTGAGTTCGCTGCTAACGACAAGCGACTAAATACTAGAAACGCAACAAATCCTGTCCAGACCGAATCAAACCTCCCTTTGATGTACCTATCAAGGAGCGAACGCAATCGAAGGTCAACGTCGACCTTGGAAACTGTTAGCTTATGTTGGCTCGCGGCGTACACACCGATTCGAACACCTCCACATGTGCCGTGGCTTGCGTTGGAGTCTCAGTCTGTACGCGGCTTTATACCAAAGCTATTACTCCAGTCAAAATAGTTTTTATTTTGGTTTGGTTTGGAAAAATTCCCAATAAGCTGAAAATTGCAAGGGTCTTGGACACACCGTTTTGAATGATAACTCCTCATATTTTCTTGAAGAGCGGAACCTTGTCTTAACTCTTACATCATGTTTTGTAATATTTCTCTAAAAGACAACGAAATACCACAAAAAAAGTGTACTTTTTAATATTCAAGATACAGACTAGTCAGTTACATATCGGCCACCCTGTATATGCTGCATAAGAGCAGAAAAATACCTGAGAGACCAAGAATCACTAAAGCTCACAAACGGTGACTCATGGAACGTAAGTACTTGAGCAGCTTTTATAATTATATAACTTTTGTACAAGATATTTGTGTGTATATCTTTCCCTTTTAGAGAAATATGACAAAACGTGATATTTTTGACATTTCAAACCATATAGAACAAGCTACCGCTCCAAGGACTTATGGGGATATATTATTCATAATGGTATAATTAAAGATTGTACCAATGCTCAGCTTAGCGGGAGTCTTTGCAAACTTGAAATATTTTATGCTGTATTTTTTCTGGTCTATATAAATAATACTTATATAAAAAACTACGTGACAATGCCGGAAAAATCCTTCGCAGAAATTATATCAATGACAATTGATATGTTTGAAGAAGCAGCAACAAGCCTCACTTTCCGGGGCAACACTGTCATCAGTTCGGAAAGGATTATGTTCGGCACACGTTCCCTCTCTTTGAATATATCTTACAAGGGACTTAAATGGAATAATTTGGTCAAATAGCTCCATACAATAATTAGTCCCACCCCATCTGACAACCTGAACGTTTCTGCTCTGCCCTACCTAAACTTAGGTAAGCCAAGGTTAGAAGCGTATAGTAACGCCAAATATTATTGAGGGTAAATGCGGTTTTTCATCCTGAGAAACAAAAATTTTGCTAGATAACTTTTCCAACAACCTTCAAATATGAAAAAATCACATTGCACAAATATTCAAGAAACTGTGAGGTTTTCGAAAGACCGCTCCAAATCAAGCAGCATGAAAACACCTTCCTAATGAGGACTTGTATGATCAAGTAACTAGAGCAGTTGATTTTCATCAAAAACTGATCAATATTTTCGGAAAAGTTAAAGGTGCTGTAGGAAATTGGACTTGGATACTTTATAGCTTTTTAATATACGCCGAAAAGGGATTTTTCCAGATTTGACGTTAGATGGGAGTCCTTTCCATTTACCATCAAGAACATAGCTCCGTTGTAGAATCAGTGTATATAAGTTGTTCTATAGCAGGGCCTGTTTTTCTCTGCGCAGCAAGACCCTACTATATACGCCTAAATGTACTCGTATAATCCGTTTCCAAGAAGTCAACCTCTGAAGGCATAACATACCCTCCTTTACAAAAGGTAGAAGGCTAGGGGTGACCAACCCTACTATCTTATTATTTTTACAAGAAATAAGTACATAATTGGATTTTCCAAGCAAATACAAGAAAGTGAACGGCACTGAAGTATAACAGCACTCATATAATGTTATTTACTTTTGTTATTACTGTAGCTTTATTCAGTTTCTACGGCACGGGTGTTACGTATCTTGAAAAGTGACATTATATCGGTTTTTTGAGACATTATGTAGGTTTTTCTACGAGATGTTAACTTAGCACTAGCTGATGGACACCTGTTGTAAACTCGTTTTGTTGTACGTGTTGCCTAAACGTCATTATGCTTTAGTTATCAATGTTTGGCTATGAAGTGATGTAAAATCTGCTTCAGAGATTTCATTGCTGGAGGTCTAAGCTGTAAGTTGCTCACTATAGGTAGAAGGAAACGGCAATGCATCGGTGCATAGTGAGGATTTGTGTGCTAATATGTGTTGATGATAATTTCATTGGATTCTTGTCTCAAATACACTTACTTGAGATTCATTCTAGAAATTACATATGGAAATTTGCTATATTTCAAAAATGAGAGAGGTGTCGAGCTGTCCCAGAATGATTCGGATGATAGCCAATCAGAAGTGAGTTTAAAACCTTGATAACTCATTACACTGTATCAGAAATAGCATTCTGTAGAATCCAAATAAAGCTAATCTTTCACATAACTATATCGTATAAAAATGTCATACTCCGCATCCGCATCCACTCTAAGATACCATCACTGCATTTTCTGAGAAAATATAGTGCATCTTCCGCAAGCTGTTTACTTGGCGGCTTCTGAAAATTCCCCGCTATAAAAGCCATTATTCTTATCTCCTTCTGTTTAGTAACTCAACTTGGCCATCTATTATACTTAAGGTCCGTAAATTCGATATAATCGATATAACCGCTGAGAGAACCGAAATATAAGTTCATAAAGTAGACCGAGAGCCCTTACCCCTACAAGAGGTGATGACCCTTACTTCGCTTTGTTCCCCTGTGCCTGGATTCGACATTTACATTATGAGAGCGATTTATACTCGCAGCAAAATTGAGCCATATAGTTTTTTATTTCTTTTCACCGTGTTTGGCATCACAATGGTCATGCGAAGTAGGTAAACAGATTAACTCTTTTTGCAGCGATCAACTTGCTTAAAGCAAGCCGATTTTTAGAGCAGCTCCTACTTGCTCTTGCACACACACATGTAATGGGTGACGGAGGACTGCTCGGTTACTGAAAGTACTCTAACAAATTTAACATAGATTGACTACATTGCAGTTGTACGTTTAGGCCTCGGTATAGGGCCAGTAAAATCACTCTGGCTAATAATACCTGTCAGAGGAGTAGATATCATGCACACGCACAGCAGCACAAATTCTCAGCATATAGAGCACAAACATAACCTGAGCTGTCGGCGTGCTCACATCAGCTAGAAGCAGCGAAAGACACAGCGGTGTTTTCAGCGCTGAAGTGCTTAATTCTAAATTATCATTATCACTACTTTGAGTCAGAATAAGGATCTTTCAAGTAATTTATGTAAGATAAGAGGTCTTCTATTTCTATGGCTTGGAAATTATTGGTCGGATTATAATACAATTTTGAAGCAAAATGCTTCCACCAATAAAGGCGCAGGAACAAGTAAAGATTCAAATTTGAGCGCATCAACAATCTTAATTTTTTGAATGTTTATGTAGTTGCTGATTATTTTTGAAGACTACAAAAGTCCATGAGGATTAAAATCTAATGAATACGGAAATTTGTTATTTGAAGTTTTTCTACTGTTTCGGGCCATAGTAGAACCTTTCGTTGTTTGAATATTCTGAACACCGTCATGTCTTTTATGGCTACGTAACGTATATCAGTAGCAGTGCTAGGAATGTCTTTGAGCCGCATTTGATCAATTTAAATGTAAAGATGTAAGCAAAAATAGATTCTCCTAATGTGTGAAGGGTACTCAGGCAACCTGTTTGCTTTAAAGCTTTTCTATTCAGTTCTCATACAATTCTCGAACAAAAGCTGAAATTTTGTCGTTTCACAAAATTTTATTGCTATAAAAAAATTAACTCGATTGCGTCATCATAAAACTCATAATAATTAGCCACGCAGATAGTAACGCGTGAGACTATACTCACAAACAATCATAGTATCGAAATATAGCACAGTTTTTATGAAAATACTTATATTGACACCATTTAGATCGAAACAAAGTAAGCACGTCCTAATACAGGGTGATTCACAAGCTGTGACCAAAAATGAAACATCATACACAGGACCGCATTTTAAGGGGGTCTATGTAACGTTTTTTCATCGAAAAGTTCATAAATAAAAACATTTTTTTTAATATCAATTAACTGTAATGAACCAAAATTTGGTATGTGGATTTATCTAAGTATTGATCATATTCAAAGGTCTTTACTTAAAATTAACGTGCACCAGTGGCGGAGATACAGGGGATTAGAGGCATAATTTTTTTTTTAACTAAAAATAGTACGCCACTGTTTTTTTCCAAAACGCTAAAAATAATTACTCTTGTGTTTTTTTAGAGTGTACCGTTTTCGTAAAAATGAAAATAAAACAAATTAGGTCAATCATGAAGAGCCGAGATACAATTATATTCAAAATAAAATAGGAAGCCTTGATACCAACTTGACGTTTTTTGGCAGATAATCATTTAGCAATGTTTAGTACGCCGATATTGTTTTTATGTACGGATTCTGTAATGGAAATGCTTTAGTGGCTTCCCGGGAGTATCAACTTCATGGTGATTACGACTAAGAAGCCCTGTAGGTTGACGTTTTCTGGGGCAGATGAGATTTTACTTCCCACTCCTACTGGCAAGGTAAAGTTCGGGGCAATGGGTTCATTCATGGGTAGTGTGAAAGTGGTAGTTGAAAAATAAAAATGGTGGGCTGGGTGCCGTTTTGGCCCATTTCTTAGATAGAATGGAAGGCCGTATCTCATTTTAAAGATCCTTATAATTCTCAATGAAATCACTACATCCAAAAATGGTGAACTGACATATTATCAAATTTTTGCGTTTTTGTACATCGAGTCACTTATAACTCAACCACAACTCATCAAAAAGCTATGGTATAATTTATCGATCTCCTAATCTTGAAAAAATCTCTACTTCCCTACTAATATCATGAATGAGTAAGTGTGGATGTTTCTTGCTT